ATTTAAACAATATTTGCTTCTATTCCCTCTGGGTTTTTTGTTTGTTTGTTTGTTTGTTTGTTTGTTTGTTTGTTTGTTTGTTTTTTGAATGTGCATGTTTGATGTACACAAAAACACATAGAAATATATAATCATTTAAACAACCAAAGGGCGCATTCAGCACGCCAGCCTCCTGGCCACTATGTCAACACACAGCCTTTCTCTTTCCATGAGTCTTGGGTCCTCAGCTGCTTTATCTCTCCATGCCATCACTCTGCCTCTATTTTTGCTTGTCTTTTGCTCACACTCTTCTCTCTTGATGACCCCAGGGTCCTCTGTCATGGAGTGTAAAATTGACTAATCCCTACTTTACGTTACACAACTTCTACGTTTACAATCACAATTAATCATGGTAATAATTACTCCTATTGAATCATAAGAATCTTATCCCCATATCCTTTCACCAGACCCATCTAGACAAGAAGAAAACTATTCAGTGGGGATTCTACTTTCCCCTTTACACTGAAACTAAACTCCCTCTTGAAAACTTGTAAGCTAGTTACTTCGTACCTTTGCTGTTGCTATTGTTGTGTGCCGTGGAGTCAGTTCTGACTCATAGTGACCCTCTACAGGGTTTCCAAGGCTGTAAGTCTTTACGGGAGCAGAAATCCTCATCTTTCTCCTGTAGAACAGCTGGTAGTTTCGAACTGCTGACTCTAAGATTAGCAGCCTGATTTGTAACCACTATGCTACCATACCTTTATAGACACCCCCATTTTATGTAGCCAATGTCTAATTTGCCAGTCCCTATTAACACTGTATACTGAGGAGACAGGCTTGATCCTTGATGTGAAGACTCCTTCCCTCTTGGTTGGTATTTTGAGCTACTACACTTAATGCATTTTGGCCCTTTATAGAAGATCAGCTGACCATGTTGTTGCTGTTGTTAAATGCTGTCAAGTAAATTTCAACTACTAGCTACCATGTATACAGTTTCCAAGGAGCAACAGGTGGGTTTGAACTGGCAACCTTGTGCTTAGCAGTCCAGTGCTTATCATACAGCACCAACCCAGGTGGATGAATTTACTTCTGGGTTCTTAATTCTCTTCCATTTATCTATATGTCTTTTAAAGTACCAGTCCAAGACTGTTTTGACTAGTATGAATTGCCAGGTTTTTCTTCAAGGTACCTCTGGATGGACACAAACTTCCAACCCTTTGGTTAGCAGCCAAACACGTTAATTATTTGCACCACTCAGGGACTCCATTTTATCTATAATATATTATCTATGTAATATTTAGCCCAATATTAACAAAAATATTGCAATTTACATGAAAATAAATTTTTTGTTTGTGCTAAGGCTTGGAGTTCCGTTGTGGTTCTAACCCACCAGCTGTTCCCTGATAACACTAAACAACAACAAGGCTTTAAAATCCAATATGTACTTTATATTCATAGTGCTTATCAGTTCAGATCAGTCACATTCCAAGTGCTTCACTAGATACCACCACATCTTGGACAATGTAGCTTTAGCTTTACTCACACCCTGGGCAGGTGATAATGAATCCCAAGGGCTAGAAAATTGAAACTTTTAATGTAATTTCACAAGCAGAAAAATGACATTCAGGGTGTTTTTATGTTTTTACATTTTCAGGGGCGACTGTTAAGAATCTTCAGGCCTTCCAAGTCCTCCAGAATGTCTTTCATAAAGCTAGTAACCCTCTCCTCTGCTCGCAAGTCTTGTCAGCCATCAGAACAATGTGGATCTGGAACACACGCAACTTCTTCCTGCTCGAGTGGACCCTGCAGCCCATCTCACAATTTGTGGAATTCTTGCATCTTAAGCCAGTCCCAGTACAGATGCAGTTCTTCCATCTTCTAGAGATGATAGTGTTTGAATTGTACTATGTGCCCCATGAAATCCTACAGAAGGTTCAGTGCCTGATCAAGGAGAGCCCTGAGCCACCCTGTACCCTTGTGGCCCTTCAGAGCATCCACAGGATTGCAGGCAGTGACCCATTCTTCACTGACATCTTCCGGGACTCGGGGCTTCTGGGTCTGTTGCTGGCCCAGCTTCGGAAGCGAGCCAAAATAATGAGGAAGTCAGGTATGGCTGAGTAGCAGCAGAAAGGTGGTGAATGGTGTAGGGTCAGTGTTAGTCAGGTCTGGGTATATCCCCTCCACATCTCAACATAACAACAACAAAGATGGTGCCCATGTCACTGAAGACTGTGAAGGCTAAAAGGGCTACCCTGTTTGGCTATCTTTCCCGTGCTACTCTTCAGAGTTACAGAAAAGGTGCCTCCTCATGTTCTGTAATTGGCCTAATGTTCTTTGTGTAGAGGGGAAATGTGGTGAGTGGACTCTAAGCAGGTCTCTTGAGCTCAGACATTTCTTACCTTAGTATTTCCTGGGTAAATAGATGGATCATAGTAGGGAGCTAGAAAGGTCCTCAGTGATGCAAAGGGGAAGGGAGCAAAAACAGGTCTGGAATGATCTAGGGCTTGGCTGAGGTCAGTTGGGGTATGGTCGTCTTATTCACCCAGTGCAGTTAGGGTTTGGTGGTTTTCTATTTAGATCCTGGATGACCAGGGTCTTGTTACTTGTTGAATTTTGGCTAGACCCTGTGTTCCTGCTGAGGAGTACACTGTAGCTCCTTGGCAAATTCCATTACCCTTACCTTTGCTTTACTCCCATGCCTCTCACCCTCAATGACTTCTGCTCCTCCTGCAAGACATTCAGAGTCCTTTCCACCCCTGCAGCAATGGAATGATGCAGGACCCTGACCTTGACTTGCTTACTGACTATGTGCTGTACACTCTGCTAGGACCACCAGTAAGCAGTTGCCCTCAAGTTCACTCTGACTCATAGTGACACCATGTGTGTCAGAGTATCACTGTGCTCCATAGGGTTTTCAGTGGTTGATTTTTTTTTCATAAATGGATCGCAAGACCTTTCTTTTGTAGTGACATCTGGGTGGACACAAACCTCCAACGTTTCAGCTAACAGCTAGGCATGTTAACTACCTCCCAGGGATTCCATATTGTCTTCTGAAAGCTCCATCTGTGTATACCTGCCTCTGGGGTACCATTTTAATAGTGTAGCATGCGACACATATGTCTGACCACTGGCCCTCCCTGGTTTCTGCCTCTTCTCCTCCCTCTGCATTTGCTGGAAGGGCCTGGGAGCTCTTTAGCCACTGTGTGCAATTGGAATTCTGTTTAAGACACAGGCAAAGTCATTCATCGGTCTGCCTGTTGGAACTCTGTGGAGGAAGACGGTGAAGGAGATAGTTTGGAAGCCAGAATATCTGTTTATTAAAGGTAGCATTTATAGTATTTCTGCTACTAGAGAGCTAAGACAGGCTGCTAGTTGGAAATGAATAGTGGTGGCGGCTGCACAACATAATAGAAGCAATTAATGTCACTGAATTGTACATGTTAAAAGGTTGAAATGACAAGTTTTTTTGTTTTATACATATATTCACCAAAATCATTTTTCTTTTTATTCAGAAATTGACAGGGGTTTAAGGGATTGATCGGGTGGAGGTATAAAGAGGTGGAATACAGAGCATTTTTAGGGACATGAAGCTATGCTGTATATCCTCTGGAAGCTGGTTAGAAATGTACATTCATGAGAATCTGCCAGACCAACTGAGTCAGCACTCCAGAGCTGGGGCTTCATGGGATTCTAATATGCTCATGTTACAGAACAACTGTGGTAGAGGATGATAGAGTTACATATTGTGAATTGGAATGCACACTTCCTAATATTGAAAGCATTACATTCACGTTTCCTTAAGATGATTGAAAAATAATGAAGGCAGAGATGTTGAGTCAAACTATGCATGATAGCTTCATAGCACTGTTGTAACAAAATGCCACAAACTGGACTTTGAAGAAGCATTTGTTTCATGTTGCTCTCTTAGCTTCCGGTAGCTCTAGGAGCTCCTTGTCTTGCAGCTGAGCATCACGTGGTATTCATCCTTTATTTCCTTGTCTTTGTGTAGCTTCTCTTCCTTTATAAGGACAAATGTCATAGAGGATTGGGACCCACCCTATTCCATATGGAGTCCTGGTGTGGTGCTGTGGGTTAATGTGCTGGACTACAAAGTTGGTTTGAACTCCAAGGTCGGTGGTTCAAGCTCACCAACTGCTCCTCAGAAACTCTACACATGGTTGCTATGACTGGCACTGACTCCATAGCACTTAACAACAACAAAACAATTCTAGTGTGATCTCTTGTTAACATAACTGATAATATCATCAAAAGTACTATTTCCAAGCCAGGTTACACTCACAGGTGGAAAGGTTAGGACTTCAGTATACCTTTGGGGGACACAATTCAATCCTTGTCACCACATGCATTAAAAACAAAACACAACAAAAACTTTTTATTGTACTTTGGGTAAATGTTTACAGAAAACATCAGTTTTCCATTCAATAATTAATACACACTTTATTTCATACCATTGGTTGCATCCACATGTGCACTTAAAATGCTTTCTTAATCATTTTTTTAACTATGGCAGGAAACACTGAGTCTAACCCTGGAGTTCAGGATCCAGAAAGAGAACTCACATGCTTGATGCTGAAGACCGTGGCCACACTTCTTGAAGGCTCAGTTCGGAATGCAGGTAAGGATAGCACCAAATTTGCCTTCTCACTACTTGATAAAACATGAGGTATTTGGTGGTTATTTATGCCAGTGTTCAGAGACTTTATCTGTGAAATAGCCAATGCTAGTGTTGTGGCCAACATCTGTCTATTTTCTGGTTGATATTTAGTAAAAATCAACAAGCTGGTAGACCCCTAGGTTGACACTTGCTACTTCTAAGGTTTCTAAATAATGCATGTGAATGTTGGAAAATGAATAATGAAGACCATAGAAGAATTGATACATTTGAGTTATGGTGCTGGAGAAGGATATTTAAAGTACAATGGACTACCAGAAGTACAAACAAATTTGTGTCGGAAGAAGTACAGCCAACATGCTCCTTAGAACCTGTGATGGCAAGACTTTGCCTCTCATACTTCAGCAAGTTATTATCCATAGGGTTCACTTTGGATGTTATGCTTGATGAATTGGAGGGCCAGAGAACAATAGGAAGACCTTCAACAAGGTGGATTGGCATAGCAGCAGTAGCAGCATTGGGCTCAAGCATAGAAATGATTATGAGGGTGGTGCAGTGTTTCCTCCTGTTGTTGAGCAGGCAGTGTTTCCTCCTGTTGTTCATTGTTCTGAGTCAGAGTCAATTCACAGGCACTTAATAATAGATACATACGTTGTTGCTGTTAAGTGCTGAGGATATGATTTTGACTAATAGTGGCCCTGTATAGGGTTTTCAAGGAGAAGTTGGTGAGTTTGAGCCACCTACCTTGTTGTTGGCAGTCCAGTGTTTATCCTATAGTGCCACGCCAGCACTTCAAGGAATTCAATGAAAAATGGAGTGTAAAGATAATGAAATTTCCCAAGACTTTTAGAAGTCCCCTCATATATTGTTGTTGTTAAGTGTTGTTAGGGTTTCTGAGGAGCAGCTGGTGGGTTTGAACTGCTGACCTGTGATTCAAAGTCCAGTGTTGATCCTATTGCATTGCCATCCCGGAAATCCCCCTCACATATGTATGTTGTTGTTGTTGTTAGGTGTCATTGAGCTGATTCTGACCCATAGCGACCCTGTATAGGGTTTCCAAGGAGCAGCTGGTGAGCTAGAACCACTGACCTTGCAATTCAAATGACTTTGCAGTCTGATGCATTAACCCACAGTGTCACACCTGGACTCCTCACACACACACACACACACACACACATATCTATATATAATCTGTAAATATATACATATGCACAGATACACACAAAATATTATAGCATATATGCATATATAGCATACATATGTAACCCTGGTGTGTCGTTATAGAAGAAGCACTGAACTGCTGATTGCAAGCTTGGTGGTTCAAATCCACTATCTGCTCCTTGTAAACCCTATACAGCATTACTATGAGGTGGAACCTACTTGACAGCATTTAATAACAGTAACACCATACATATATGATATATATACATGTATAGTGTAATCTTTCTTCTTGGATCAACTATCAACACTCATGGAAGCAGCAGTCTAGAGATCAGATGACATATTGCATTAGGCAAATCTGCTGCACAAGAACTTAAAGGGTTGAAGAGCAAAGATGTCAGCTTGAGGACTAAGGTGCGCCTGACCCAAGCCATAGTAGTTTCAATAACCTCATATGCATGCAAAAGCTGGACAGTGAATAAGGAACACCGCAGAAGAATTGATGCTTTTGAGTTATGGTGTTGGACGTGAATATTGAAAGTGCCATGGGCTGCCAAAAGAACCAATAGATCCATTTTGGAAAATGTGCAGCCAGAATGCTCCTTGGAGGCCAGGGTGGCCAGGCTTCATCTCTTATACTTCGGACATATTGTCAGGAGGGACCAGTTGCTGGAGAAGGATATCATGTTTAATAAGGTGGGGGATCAGAGAAGAAGAGGAAGACCCCACCAGTGAGATGGATTGGCAAAGTGGCAGCATGAATGGGCTCAAGCGTGACAATAATTATGAGGTTGACCGGGGATCGGGCAATGTTTCATTCTATTGTGCGTAGGGTCACTATGTGTCGGTACCAACTCAATGGAACCTACCAACAACAACATAGTGAGATTACACTATGTTGTAAACAGATACATCAACAAAATTCCCTCTGTGGGCTAGGAAATTTTGAGCATCCTTATCTACAAATGTGAAAATTATTATTTCATTATAGTTGTTGTTGTTATGAGCCGTGGAGTCGGTTCTAACTCATAGCGACCCTGTTCAGGGTTTCTGAGGCTGTATGTCTTTACGGGAGCAGAAAGCCTCATCTTTCTCCTGTGGAACAGCTGGTAGTTTCAAACTGCTGACCTTAAGGTTTGCAGCCTTATTCATAACCACTACACTACCAGAGCTCCTGATATTATATTGGTGGTGGTGGTTATGTGCCATGGAGTCAATTCCGACTCTTATAACCCTGTACAGGGTACATTTTTATGGGAGCAGCAAGCCTCATCTGTCTCCCATGGAACAGCTGGTAGTTTTGAACTGCTGACCTTGAGTTCGCAGCTCTATTTGTAACCACTATGCTACCAGATCTCCTTATTCATTATAGTAGAGGGTCTACAAAAGATTCCTGGAGATGTTGGTTAAAATGCATATTTCTAGGGCTATCTTTTAGAGACTTAAGCAGTAATTGGGTAGAGTTTAGGACTCTACTTTTAAAAATGTTCCCCAGTGATTTCCATGTAGTTGCTACTTACCCCAGATTTGGAGGAATTCTGCTTTATGAAGTTGTCTGCTTAAATCCACATCATTCCTTTAAAAGGGTCAAATTACTTCCTATATCCTATTTCACCTTTTTTTCCAGGTATCAATCCTGGGAAGGAAATATTTGGGATAACCTTTATACAGAAATACATCACCCGCCAAATGTGCATCTGCAAATACATCCAAGAGTTAAATATGTTCTTAAATCTGGGTTTGCTTTGCATAGCAATTTTAGAAAACAGAGGATTTTCATGGCCCAGCATTAGGGAATTATGGTTTTGGAGTTGTAGGTTAAGCATTAGATTGCAATGTCTGCAGTTCAAACTCATCAGCTGCTCCTTGGAAACTCTATACAGGGTCACTGTGCATTGGAAGCAACTCAACAGCACTTAACAATAATAACAAATAGGTTACAAAACAGTTTTTAATTGGAAGAAGAGAAGTATAAAAATACAGCAACACAAACTTGGAAATTGTTTCTTGTGATTGAAACTAAGGTGCTAGGTCACCATGGCTCTAGCCTGTCCTGTTTGTCTGGCCCCCAGTTGTCCTGAGAGACCACAGTATGGTCCCTTTTATCAAGATCTTCTTGGATGATGAGTGCTACCGTGGAGCATCGCTCAGCATCCTAGAGCAACTAGCAGTCATCAACACAGAGGAGTACATGAGCATCATCGTGGGTGCCTTGTGTTCATCCACGCAAGGGGAGCTGCAGCTGAAAAGAGACCTTCTCAAGGTAATTATAGATGTACTTTGTGTTGGTTTTCCTTTTGTTTTATAGCAGATAAGCTACAGTCATTCATTCCATTAACTGTACTTGTGTAGAGTAGAGAAATGCTAACTGATACAGTAAATAATTTCCCAAATCCTCAGTACGATCTTTTGGTTAGAAGCTGACTGCTTTAGCCCGTTATGCCTCCCAAATTCAACCAAACCCATCCTGGCAACGCTGTGTGTTATAGAGTAAAGCTGCTCCATATGGTTTTCTTTGGCTGTAACCTTTGTGGAAGCTGTGTTCCCTGCCATCACATGGGCTAGGCCTGCAGTGCCCAGGTGAGCATCCTGAGAGGCCCTTCTCAAAGTACCACACATGACCATAATTATCATGATGTTTTACAGGTACAAAACCTACACTGAAATGTGATTACAAAACAAAACAAAAAACTCTTGCTGTTCAGTCGATTCCATGTCCTGATGACCCCATGTGCTTCACAGGGTTTTCTTTTGTTCTCATCTTTATGGAAGCAGATTTCTAGGCCTTTTCACCCCAGGCATCACTGGAATGAATCAAACCATCAACCTTTTGGCTAGTAGTTGAGAGCAGACTATTAGGTTCATCCAGGACTTTTTAGTTTGATTATGGTGGTGGCCGGTGGTTGTATGCCTGGAGTCAGTTCAGACTCATAATGATTCTGTATAAAGTTTCTGAGGCTATAAATATTTATGGGAGCAACAAGCTTCATTTTTCTCTCATGGAGCAGCTGGTAGACTCAAACTATTGATCTGACCTTGCAGTTAGCAGCCTATCTTGTAATCCACTATGCTACCAGTACTCCTTTAGAGCCAAAAAATGAATGAAGGCTATTAATATAAAAGTGTGGTGGCTCTGTAGGATAAGCCCTGGACTGTGAACCCCAGTGTTAGTGGTTTGAGCCTTCGAGTCACTCTTCAGGGGAAAGATGAGGCTGTCTGCTCCCACAAAGATTTACAGCCTAAGAAACCCTATACAGGGTTGCTATGAATCAGAACCGACTCAATAGACTTAACAACAACAATGAATATAAACCAAAAGAAAAGTTAAATGTTTTGAATGGCACTTGAGTTCCATGGCCATGTGAGGTTAAGGGGTTGAGACGGATATGGAAAGCAGATAATAAGGGAGAGATGCATTCAGAATGAATAAAACTTTAGAACTGGAAAGGACCTTAGATTCATGTGGTCCAACCTCCTTATTTTATAGGCAGAGACAGACATCCACAGAGCTTGTGGATTAATATCATACAACTGCTCTGTGGTGAAGCTGAATTTGAATTTAAGTCTAGAGACTTAATATCTAGTGATGTTTCTACTTTATACTGGTTGCTGCATTTTCCCTCATAAGTCAATATTCAATTTGATTCATCTAAACCTCATCCTGACAGGAAGTGGTAAGGCATGACCAAGGTAATCAGATGAACAACTGGAATCCTCATCTGTGTCTGATATTTTCATGTTTAAAATCAAATTGGTCCACAGAGAGAAAAGTTTTGTTTTATCTAGTCTTACTATGTAAAAGTAATTTTGTGTCCAATATAGGAATGCTTTGCTTCCCTCCTGGAAATTCATCTTGTTTACTCTGTAGCCCGGAGGCACCTTATTAGAGTGTCAACCCTTGGGCAATAGGACTGAATTTCTAGAATTAGCTATGTGTAGCCATTATGGTGTTTTACAGTTTCAATATAATTTCAGAAGCATACTATCAAGAGAGTACATAAGTGAGAAATACTGAATAAGCTTATTTAACAAAACAGTACTCTGTGCACAATGTACTGACTTCTCCCTATGCACCAAGTCTCTGTGGGCCAGTTGCAAGGGTGCCCGAAGTCACACGTTCTCCAAGGATTAGGATTGATAACACATTGCTGCTCCAGTGGATGGTGGTGAAGAGTTATGGAGCCAGAGAGTCTTATCAGATACACCCAAACCGAGTCATATGAGCAACCAGTGAACATGTGCTAGAATCGGATGTGAGATCTATATTTGATACTAAGTCATCTTGGAAACTCCTTAGAATTTTAAAAGCAAAGATGTAAAATGAAGTCTTGGGCCGGATCTAACTTTTTAGAAGTTGAGAACCGAGTCTGCCTGAGGATGGGAATGGCTGGCGTAGTGCTGAAGGCAAGGATACAGACGATATCCCCCATCACCCAGTAAAGGTTTGCTCTGTAAGACAGGCATTCACTTCATGGCATCTTTCTTTTGTTTCCCTTCACTAAATCAGAGATAAGAACAGTTGACATAGAGTTCACTCTGACTCATTGTGACCTGGTGTGTGTCACTGTAGAACTGTGCTCATAGGGTTTTCATGAACTAAGTTTCTTAAGTAGACTGCCAAGGTGCCTCTGGGTGAACTCAACCTCTAGTCTTTCCATTTGTAGTGAATGCATTAACTGTTTGTGTCACCCTGATACTCCAAATCCCTCCATTAACACCCAATTTAGGAGATTTGTTTCTGAAATTCAGTGGTACTTTCATACAAATATATGTAACTTCACCACCTAATTCTGGCAAATGAGAACTGAGTTGAAGCATAATGTAAGCAACTGAATTTTCTCTCCCCAGCCAGTGGGACCATGATTGGTTTATGCACAAATGCAGATTGATTTACTAATATACACTTAACTGTTCAATTGTGAGCATAATGGAATTACCTCACCAATCTTCCAGCATGACACATGGAAAATTATGAGGAATAACAAATAATAGAATGTGAAATAAATCCTGTTAGTCCTAACCTAATTAGCACTTTGCAGCAGACATCCATTTTATAGATTCCAGCAGGAGGAACACTAATTCAGAGACGATGACATGGTAACTAAGTTAAGGATGAGAAAAAGTGCTTAACACTGACCTTTCTTGAAACGTGTCAACCTGAGCCTGATTACTTTGACTCAGGCTGATTAAATTTACTCCTTTTCACATACTTGCCAGGTCTCCTGATACATGATAGTGCAAAGTTGACAGACAGTAATGGAGACCCGCCTCCTAGGCTCACAGTCCCTGATAGGTCGTTTCCTGAAGTAGCACAGTATTTATTTTCCTTTATGATAGAAATGTTTCTCTGTAGTTGCTATGAAATTAAGCCTTTGTAATTGAATTTTTGGCTCTTTACTTTATGATTCTGCAAATATGAAATTAACCCCATCCCAAGAAATAATAGAGCAGTCTGAGTCCTAATGACATTACCCCTATTTTAGATAATGACACCAAATTAAATAAATCAAAGAAAGCAACAATTAAAGATAGTCATTTTGTCCTCCTCCCTTCCTTCCCAACAGGAGGAGAAGAAAATAGGAATTACAGGAGGCCAGCCCCTCTCAGAGACACATACTAAAATGAAGACTCTTGTTTGGTTGCTTGTCTTTATAAAATATCTGCTCTCAATACTCTAAGAATGGTGGCATTCTTTTGAACAGTATCTGGGTTCTTGAAAATTCTAAGGTGTCTTCTTGAAGTTTAAAGAGAGACATTAGGGGTCATCCCGTACTCAGATGATTGTTTATAATTTTATAATCTGTTTAAATTTAGTTTTTGAATCAATCTCCCATTTTGGTTTGTGTGTGTGATATTTCAAATGACAAAGAGAATTTTATTCGTTTCATTTGCCTTAGGGATTCTCTTAGTGGTCTTTGAAGTTCTTGAATGGTACAAAAAGTTAATACACTCAGCTGCTAACACAAAAGTTGGAGGATCAGGTCTACCCAGAGATGTCCTGGATGAAAGGCCTGACTACCTACTTCTGAAAAATTAGTTATTGCACACCTTGTAAAGCACAGTTCTACTCTGACACACATGGGGCCACGGGAATTGCAGCCAACCCAATGGCAAGTGTTTAAAAAATTGTTTTTTAGTTGTCTTAGGAGCCATTGAAAGTATTCATAAACTTATATGGTTTAACAACTTCTTCCAAAGAAGTCATACCTTAAGATTTCCCACCTCCGTGATTTATTTTTTTGTGTCAGAGCACTGCAATAAAATGTTTGTTTCACATTAGCCCCTCCTCGGAAACCCTATACAGCGTCTCTATAGTTAAGTGCCAATTCCATGGCACTTAACAGCAACAACAGACATCACTTAATAGGTACAGCTTTGCCTTTGGATTGTTTCTTGATAGGAAAACACCACTGCCACCACAAACACTCCAAACAGTTAGAGTAGGTTTTCAACTCAATCATTGAAATACTGTTTTGTTGAGGGTGAGTGGCTCACACAAGTTAGGCACAGGTGCAACACATCTGTTTATAGCCTCTCCTGCCTCCGACTTGCTGGAGGCAAGGGGTCGAGCAACTTCTGGTGATGTTATGTAGACAAAGGAATGATTTCTCAACCTAGAGAAAGCTTGTTGCTCCACTAACTTTCACATTTACTGAACATCACCAGTCTGGAAGGATCTACTGTAACAAGCTCCATGCTTCTCTCTAAGGACATATTTTTATATATGAATGTTTCTTAGCTCTTGTGCTAATTAAGAATGAGTTAGACAATGTCCTCACCCAGAGACGAAAGCAGTGCCATGACCTAGGCTCCCTTAGTATCTTATTTTTGCCTCCTTCTTTCTGGCATTCTGGAATTCCATGAAGTATACCACATTACTGGCTGAAGACATTTTTCAGGGCAGCTCTGATGTGGACTTTGTTTCAGAGAGAAAAATGACAATTCAGTTTAAGTCATCCCTAATCTGTGATAGTCTAACCACCACTGTCCTAGATCTCGTTTTTCTACAACTGAGATAAGATCAATTCATTCATGTTAATAATGATGAAGTTTCTATGTCACTTTGTATTATTTGTACACATTGTAGTCTTTGGCTTTTAAAAGATTCTCCTAGCTACTGTAATCTTTATTTTGTATCTTGACTTCTTGAAATGTAATCAGTGGAGTAGTGGGAGCCTTTAAACTTCCTTCATCACCAGTTATCTATATCTATGAAAGAATCCTTGCTTATTTGTATCACAACAGTCTCATCTCCTGACAAAT